TATGCTGTGGGGTGTGGGACTCAAACCATGCACTCAGTCATGTGGGATCTGGCTGCCTTAACAAACAGGCCACAGAACTGGCCTGTTTTTATATTTTCTTAATACAATAAAAAATTTTTTTTGAGATGTTTTTGCTATAGGGCTTGCCAGAAAGATAGAGAGACAGAAAGCGAGAAATCACCCCTTGGGATGGACATACTGCAATCCATTCTCCTCCATTCTCCTCTCAGGATCTTGGACACACATGCACACGTGCCCGGTGTGAGTTTAAGCCACTGGGTCTGGGATTCGAACCGTGGTTGGCTACATGGGAGGCCAGTGACCAACTGCTGGTCCCTTTAATAAAAAATTTTAAGCTTAATGTTAGTATCAACCACATTACTTAAAGTTTACTACTTACTTATATTAAACAGAAACCAGTACTTCCTTCATGTAAAAGTATTTGTTAAATGAATGAATGCCCTTTGAGTAACAGACTCTGAGATGTGTTAAATTATAGTTCTAATGGTGCCCAAGGAAGTTACAGATGGTCAGCTGTAGAATAAGTTCCACCTTACTTGGTCAGAAAGAAAAGTGAAGAAAAAGATGAATGCAAAATTTGCAGGGATGGAAAAGGATGAAAAAAAATCAAGGAGGGCCAGCAGGTGGCATGGTGGCTAAGGTGTTGGACTCCCACATGGCCCAATGTGGTTTGAGTTCTGGACCTGGTGGCTTGGTTTGTCACTTTTCTTCTCTCTCTCTCTGGTCAAATTAAAAAAAAAAATTAAATAGATAGTTCTTAAAAAAACCAAACAAACCCATTGACCAATATTAAAAGGGTAAAACTATTCAAACAGAAGAGTGGTTTAAATCAGAGTGTATTTGGTATTTTAAAATAGTTTGCCTTTTGTTTTATTTCTAGAAAAAATTATTTAACGAATGAATAAACATCATAATAACATTATTACTATTAGCCAAGCCATCCCTGCATAATTGGAGAAAATTGGTAAGTTTTACTATGTCTTTACTTGCATTGCTTGTATGACTCTATCATTTGTCTGATAGGTGTCATAAATGTATATTTAAGGGGAACCAGCAGTTAGCATAATGGCTATGTCGCTGGACTCCCACGTAGTCGACCGTGGTTCACGTCCCAGACCCGGTGGCTTAGAACTCACACCGGGCGCGTGTGCGTGCGTGCCCAAGATCTCAAGAGGAGAATGGAGGAGAAGGGATTGCGGTGTGACCATCCCCCCTGGGGGGTGATTTCTCACTTTCTGTCTCTATGTCTCTCTCTGTCTGTCTGGTGAGCGCATGTGCCCTATATGAAAAAAAAAAAACCTCTCAAAAATGTATATTTAAAAGTTTAATAGAAGACCTTTTAATCTCTCTTCTGTCTGGGGAAATCAGCATACTTTTTCAATGTATTGCTCTCTGTGAAGACACCTACACCACCACACATACCACATAAGTACACATGTTCTTAAAATGCCTGGGATTATGATTCATCACTTTTAGATTTTACCATGGCACGCCTTCCTTTTCCTGTCTTCCCTCCCTCTCTCCCTCCTTCTCTTTCTTCTTCTTCTTTCTCTTTCTCTCTTTCCTTCTCTTTTATTATTGAAAAATGTCATGGGATTATGAAGTCTTGGTGTAGGAAGGACTCAAGACTGTCACGTCCCCTTGTCTCTTTGTATTTGAGTCACTCACACAGTGCCTGGACCATAGTAAAACACTCACAGATGTTTATAGCATGAATGTGGAATATGTTACAACCTTCAGAAGGAAGACTAAATCTTCTTTATTTTCCTTGAGTGATTTTTGCTGTAGAGTGTGTGTGCTTGCCAGAGAGACAGGGAGAGACAGAGAGACAGAAAGAGAGAAATCACCCTCCCCACCACCCCGGGGGTATGGCCATGCTGCAGTTCCTTCTTCTCCATTCTCCTCTCAGAATTTTGGGCACACACACATGTGCCTGGTGTATTTTAAGCTGCCGGGTCTGGAACTCAAACTGTGGTGGACTACGTGGGAGTCCAGCGACATAACTGCTTCACCATCTACTGGTCCCAAGACTAAATCTTTTACTGGCCAGTAGCAAGGGAGTCCTTACTGCCATCAGAGACAGATTGTGCTCTGGAAGTCAGCATCGGATTAGATTTGGGCTGTGCTGGCAAAGACATGGAGAACCACAGATGAGGCATGGTCGTTCTGCTCGCTTGGCATCCCTATCAAAGGTCATGACTCTTGACTATGTCCCTGTAATGTATGAGTTGTGGTATTGAATGCTTTCTCCATGTGCAGAGACAAGGACATCATTTGTTCTCATCCTGCACAACCCTCCCCTCTAAAACATCAGAGCAGCTTTGTTTTTCAGAGGTTTCTTTTTCTGTTTTGATTGACAGCTGAGTAGACAGTCTTCTTACATATTGTCAAAAATCCAATCTTTTTAAAAAAGAAACTGAATTCAATATGCTGTAAAGAATAACATCTTTGAAAAAGAAACTATTAGGTCATCAGAAAAGACATGACGTATTTTCACATGCAAAAATGCTTCATGACTTTTCCAATGACCCAATAAATACAATATAGTAAAAGAAATTCAGGAATTAATATAACTCAGTTCTGTGCATCTACGTGTTTAGTAATGGAGAAACTTGGGCACAGAAGAACTGGGACAGATCTCCAGTCCTGACAGGCAAAACCTGGGCCTATCTTAGCTCTGTTTCATTTTATTAGTAAAATAAAGTGATCTTAGCCGCATTCCATTTTACTAGAAAATAAAGTGATCGGTTTAGAGTGTGTCCCTATGAGCCTGTCTCTCCTTTAGGGTTAAGACCTTTGCATTCAATTGACATAGGTGTTTTTCTCATGTAAGATCTTCCTGAGCAAGATCTTGGCAGGTAGGGATGTCATAAGCTCATTCGAGGCTAAAACAGTGATGGTCTACTGTGATGGAAACTTGGTGCCCCTTGGTCAAAGAAACCTTCTCTCACCATTCCTTGTCAAGGTGGAGCCTTACTGCTAAACAGAGATTGAGTAGAAACAAAAAGAAGAGAGGCAGTGAAGGATAGGGTTTGGGGCATCTCTGATGAAACAGCAAAGGTGAGTAGACTGAAACTGGGGAGTCAGGGAGTAAAGGATTCTATTCTTTAGCAAGTCACTGTACTCTTCAGAGGGTGATTTCACAAAGGGGAGAATTGTCACTGTCTGTGTTGTGAAGCTGCTATGTGAATTCCAGAGCTCTTGGGAGAACACAAAAAGGCAGACAACGGGCAGAAAGGGACCGATTGTCATTGGCCCTCAATTCTTAATGAAGAACATCAACATATACAATGCCAAGGTTCAGTGGAGAGACTGGTCCTTGTTGTTCAATTGCCTCCTTTGTAATTAAGATTTTTGTTTGTTTGTTTGTTTTGTTTTGTTTTGGAGAGGTTTTTGCTATAGGGCGTGTGCGCTCACCAGACAGACAGAGAGAAACAGAGAGACAGAAAGTGAGAAATCACCCCCCAGGGGGGACGGCCACACTGCAATCCCTTCTCCTCCATTCTCCTCTCGGGATCTTGGGCACGCATGCACACGTGCCTGGCATGAATGTAAGCCACTGGGTCCGGGACTCGAACCATGGTCGACTATGTGGGAGTCCAGCGACATAGCCATTATGCTAACTGCTGATCCCTGTAATTAAGATTTTTATTGATTGCCTTATAAGTATGGAGAGAGTGCCAGAGTCTGCATGCACTCGTCAGAGATAGAGAGAGAAAAAGAAACAGAGAGAGAGAGAAAGAGAAACTGAGAGTGAGACAGAGAGAGAGAAAGCACACCCCAAGGGGGCATTGTCATGTTGTAATCCCTTTTCCTCCATTTCTCCATCCCGTTAGGATTTGGGACACGTGTTTTTCAGGTCACTAGTGAACTGTGGTTGGCCATATGAGGTCAGACTAAAAAAAATAAATACCTTATTTTACTTTTAAAAACACTATTAAATACCATAAAATAAATACCATAAAGAAGTATTATGAAAGAGGTAGAATTTGATTGCTTCAGAAAAGTTTTCTTTTTCTTTTTAAAGAATTATTTTATGTAACTTGAATAGTTGGTGATGAGGACAGTACACTTGATTAGTGGATATGTTTTCTAAGCAGGGGGAACAGAATGAATAAAGGCAAAGATTTTTGAAAGTAGGTAGATGAAAATAGCACACCTGGAGGGGAGTGCATTGTCTGGTGCAGTGAATACATAGGGGAAACATGAAGGTGCTATTTTGGAAAAATAAATCTACATCAGACTGTTTGTAGGCTTTGAATGTAATTTAACTGGAGAGGAAAAATAAAATATCAAATGATTTTAGTTGAGGGTTGTGTGTTTTTGCAATATTAATTTAATACCGTCAGTGGATTAGTCTGAACTGAAAAGAGCATTTAATGAATGAGTAAGGGTTTTGTGCAATGTATTTGTCCAGGCTCACTAGCCTCATATGTAAGACAAGAACAATTATGCCTACCATGGTGTGGTTGTGCCCTAGAGAAATAAAAACATATATCCCAAACAACCTGTACATAAATGTTTGTAGCTACTTTACTTTCAGTTGTCAACACCTGGAAACACCCAAATGTCCATTAATACCTGAATGAAGTAACAAATAGTATGGTGTATTTCAAGTGCCTTGCATGACTGCCGATACATAGGGGGTGATGTTGTAAGAATTATTATTAAATTAACCTTGATTCCATATGACTTGGTAATAAATAAGCAATTCAGATGGGAATACAAAATCACTTCAATTAGTTCCATTCCTGTAATATGAAAATGAAATTAGCAAACCAGATCAACAGATTTATTAGAAGGATGAACTTAAGTATCCACTGTGATTATTTTTGTAAATTGGTCTCAGTAAATAAACAGGGTGGCTGTTTTCAGACTGAAAAACAGAAAACAAAACAAAACAAAACAAAAACAAGAAAAAAACCCTAAATTAGCTTTGATTTTTTTTCCCCCACAAGGTCCTTTGGACAACTCACTGGATGGATGCTCTAAACCAAACAAGAGTGGCTGAATTCGTCTTCTTGGGACTCACTGATAACTGGATGCTGGAGATACTGTTTCTCATAGCGTTCTCTGTCACTTACGTGCTTACCCTTTCGGGAAACATTCTCATTGTGGTTACCATAGTTTCCACTCCACGTCTTCACACCCCCATGTATTTCTTCCTGAGCAATCTGTCCTTTATTGACATCTGCCACTCATCTGTCACTGTGCCCAAGATGCTGGAGGGTTTGCTTTTAGACAGGAAGACCATTTCTTTTGACAACTGTATTGCACAGCTCTTCTTTCTACATCTTTTTGCCTGTGCTGAGATCTTTCTGCTCACCATTATGGCATACGATCGTTACGTAGCTATCTGTACTCCGTTACACTACCCTAACATAATGAACCTGAGGGTCTGTGTGCAGCTCGTCTTTGCGCTCTGGTTAGGGGGTACCATTCACTCCCTGGTACAAACCTTCTTGACTATTCGTCTGCCTTACTGTGGCCCCAATATTATTGATAGCTACTTCTGTGATGTGCCTCCTGTCATCAAGCTGGCCTGCACAGATACCTACCTCACAGGAATGCTCATCGTGTCCAACAGTGGAACCATCTCTCTCTCCTGTTTCTTGGCCTTGGTCACCTCCTACACGGTCATCCTGGTTTCCCTTAGGAAACAGTCGGCTGAAGGGCGCCGGAAAGCTCTGTCTACGTGCTCAGCCCATTTCATGGTGGTTGCCCTCTTCTTTGGGCCATGCATATTCCTTTATACTCGCCCAGACACCAGCTTCTCCATCGACAAGGTTGTGTCTGTGTTCTACACGGTGATCACTCCTTTGCTGAATCCCCTCATTTATACTTTGAGGAATGAGGAGGTCAAAAGTGCCATGAGACAGCTCAGACAGAAGCATGTTTTTTTAATGAAGTCACACACGTGATGGACATTGGGATAGCAGACATAATTGTGGCCATGTTCTCAATGAAAGAGCAAAAGTAGAGTAAATATTATTTGATGAAATGGTGTGGACTAGGGAAGACTTCTGCATTAGAGAGAGGGATTTACTAGCTATTATTTAAATAAAGGAAAATGGGGTCGAATGCGTAAGGAAGAATCTGGAAAAGTTTAAAGAAGATTTCTGGTTTCACCAGTGAAACAATACAATTGGGAGATCTCAATTCACTTTAAATTTCAGGAAGAGAGAAACTGTGAGAAGCTAATCTCTTATACTGTTCTGTGGGTTATTGCTATCGGGAAGTTATATATTGTATCTATATTTTATATATTATAATGGTTTCCATCTTGCTTTCAAATACATATTTCAAAGTGTTTATTGAAAATTTTTCTGGTTTATATTGAATGAAATTTTGCTACTCTTTAAAGTTATCTCTAGGCAATTTTGTACTTTTTGCAATACTATTAATTTGAGAAAATCAAGGCAAAGGTGTATAAAGAACTAATTTGAAAAATAACCTTTATTAAGGTAAAATTTACATTCCATAAAAATGCAAAATGCACCATTTTTTTTTCTTTTTAGAGAGAAGTTTTTGCTAAAGGGTGCATGTGCTTGCCGGAGAGACAGAGAGAGAGCAATCACTCCCCAGGAAGATGGCTATATCGCAATCTCTTCTCTTCCATTCTCCTCTCAGGATTTTGGACACTCATGCACATGTGCGCAGCATGAGTTTTAAGTCACTGGGCTGGGGTCTTGAACTGGAATCGACCATGTGAGACTCCAGCGACATAACCATTATACCACCTGCTGGTCCCAAAATGCACCAATTTTAATTGTGCAGCTTGGTAAGTTTTGGCAAAGATTTACATATATCCATCTCCCAATTGAGATATGGAACATTTCCATCATCCCCACAAGCTTTCTTCAGCCCCTTACCAGTCAACTCTTGTATCTCTACTTACACATTCAAGGATTGGATTTTTGTCACTGTAGATTAAAATCGTCTAGCTTCATATGAATGAAGTCTTGAGAGAAGAGTATGTACTCTTCTGTGTTTGGTTTCTGCTGCATGCTGTTTCTAGGATTAATCCATGTTTTTGTGGGAATCAGTAGTTCGTTCCTATATATTGTTGAGTAAGTTTTAATTGCATGGGTATTTCACAACTTGTTTATTAATTCATGTATTGATGGACATTTGGGTGTTTCCAGGTTTTGACAATTGAGAATAAAGTAGCTACAAAGATTATGTACAGGTTATTTGGGATAATGTTTTCATCTCTCTAGGGAAAAATAAAGGAATTAAGGAGAAAAATGGAGAGGCAAGACATTTGAGGGACACAGAAATGGAGGATTGTCTGTTGATAACGCGTATGATGATGTCTTCAACTGGACTGGCGGGAAGTGTGCTCATGTTGGGTAAATTCATTTTACGAGTTGCAGTGATGTACAGTAATTGAATGCATTAAAAAAATAATTCTTGGATCACATGGCAAGTGTATGTTTAACTTTGTAAGATGTTGTAAAACTGTTTTTCCAGAGTGGTTCTATGACTTTATACTCTTACCAGAAGAATGAGAATTTTACATTCAACAATTGTATTGTCAGTTCTTAATTTTAGGCATTCTGATGAATGTGTGGTTTTAATTTCTATTTCTTAAATGATTTGTAATATCGAGTGTCTTTCATTTGCTTATTATTCTTCATATTTTTTGTATTGTAATATATCTCTTCAAACATTTTGTTTATTTATTCTATTTTTGTCTCCTTGCCGCTATATTGTATTACATATTCTGGATTTGAGGCCTCTGTTGGTTATGTCTTGCCAATGTTTTTCTCATTCATTGACTAGAAGTTTTGTTTTGTTTTTTTATTTTTAAATTATTTTATTTGACTTTATTTATTTACTTATTTAAATTTCACCAGAGAGGGACAGAGTGAGAGAGAGAGAGGGAAAGTGAGAAAGCAAGTGGCCAGGTCCAGGGCTCAAACCACAGTCAGCCATGTGGAAGTCCAGCTCCCTTAACCACCATGCCACCTGCTGGTCCCAAAGTTTCATTTTCTTAATGGTAATCTTGAAGAGCAGAAGTTTTAAATTTTTATTAAGTCCAATTTACCAATTAGAAATTTTTTTCTGTCCTAAGGAATTGTTACCCATCCCAAAGTCTTGAACATTTTTTTCTTTTCTTTTTTTTTTTTTTGAAATGTTATGGTTTTGGCTTTAAATTCTAGCTCTATGATCTATTCTGAGTTTGCTTTTTATGTAAGTGTAAGATAAATGATAGATTTATTTATTTAAATGTCCCAGAGCATGTGTGCTCACTGGAGGGAGACAGCGAGAGAGAGAAAGTGAGAAGGCATCCTACCCATGGAGAACAATCACATCACCAGTTATCCCCCATTTCTCCCTCTTTTGGGGCACATATGTGCATATGCTTGGTGTGTTTCTTAAGCCCCTGGGTCTGGGACTGGAACCATGCAGTCAGCAGTGTGGAATCCAAGATTCATTTATTTTCTTCTATCTAGTTTAGCCAACACTGTTTGAAAATCCTTTTTTTTCTCTCCATGTATTACCTTGGCATTCTTGATTGAAAATAAATCTATCCTTCAAGTGAGAATTTATTTTTAGATTCTCTATTTTGTTCCATTGATTTATAAGTCTATACTTAGGCCAACAGCACATTGTCTTGGCTATGTTAGCTTTATAGGAAGTCTTGAAATTATGTAGTGTGAGCCTTTATTGTTTTTCTTCAAAATTGTTTTGTTACTTCAGGTCCTTTGCATTTCCATATAAATTTTAGAAGAAGATTGCCTAGTTTTATTAGGAATAATGTTGCAACTTAGAGTGCATTGAATCTATAGATCAGTTTGAGAGAGAATTAACATCTTAACAAAGTTCAATCTCTCAATCTATAAACATGGTATATTCTTTCATTTATTTAGGTTTTCTTTAATTTCTCTAAGCAATATTAGTCGTTTTCATTTGGAATCACAGATATTTCCTTAAGTTTGTCTCTAAGTATGTTATGCTTTTTGCTGATGTTGTTAATTTAGTTTTCAATCATTTACTGGTAAGTAGAAATATAATCTTTTATATATGTCAACTTTATACCTTGTGACATTGCTAAATTCACTTGCAAATTATGGTAGGTTTTTTTCTGTAGATTCCTTAGGATTTTTTATATTCGTGATGTTTCTTCTAATTAAAAAGTTCTACACCTTCCTTTCCAATAATGTATGACATTTTTCTTTTTCTTGTCTGATTGTACTGACCAGGGCTTCCAGTACCGTGTTTAGTGGGCATAATGACAGTAGCTTTATTTCTGATTGAAATAAAATTTCAATGAAAAGTTTTCAGTTTTTCACCAAGTACGATGTTAACTGTAGTTTTTTTTTTTTTTTTTTGAGAGGTTTTTGCTATAG